CCCTCTCCGGAGTCGTCAAGCCACTTGGCTAAACCTCAGCCGCCAAAGTTGAATCGCCAATTCCCACTCGTTTGCGCGGGAAGTTGACTAGTCGAGAGAGTTTTCTTTACTCGCTAGCTTGAATTTTGTTTTGACGGTACTACCTTGCTCTGATGATGTCCGTTATATGACGCACGAAAGCTTGGCACCTTTTCACCGGAATCGAAGGAAATTACCTCAAAAACTGCGTCAGAATGAATGTTCCAGAAAAGCCAATCGACAGCTGGTCAAGAGGAATCGGCCGTCGTCGTCTGGTGGAACCGACCTTCAAATCTCTTCACCAAACACTTTCATACGAACTATAGTAGGCTTAACAATCATGAAACAAGAGATTCCTCGAAACCCAACTTTTATTCGCATATATTACGTAGGTACGGTATGTATTCTTATAAATTTCTTCTGGATATACGAAAATCAAGAAATATAAATAGAGTTTTCTTGACACGTAAGCTTGAATTTTGCTGTGACGATGTTAGCTCGCTCTGATGATCTCCTTCGTCGTCTTCTGGTGGAACCGACCTTCGAATCTCTTAACCCAAAACTTCCACTCGAAACGGAAGTAAGCTCATGAAACAAGAGATTCCTCGAAATCCAACTTTTCTTCGCATCATTAGAGTAGATGGATCCAAAAACAAGAGATAATTCCTACCCAACGCGCATGTACCTAGTTCGAATCGTTTCGCGTATGCAGTCGAGAGGTGAATAGGCAAAGGCTAACATGTAGTAACGTTGAAAATTGCTTTTAGAAGACAAAATTAAATGATATTTGGTGTCATTGCGAGGACTTCAAATCTTTTTATTGTGCTAATTTCAAAGATCAGTCCTTCCATCATGTTACGCTGCTCTCAAGAACCTCATTCGAATCATTTTTTTCGATAATATTTTTAACCTTCTTACTTTGATTGCAATGCGATGGTGTCTTCTAAATAATTAATTGGTAATTTGGGAATAGAATACACACTAATAGTCAGAGGCAGGGGCCAAATTTTAATTATAGCGAAGGTCAAAATTATTTTGTTTATGAATATGGAGTATATGCCGAGAAAAGTTGGGTTTCGAAGAATCTCTTGTTTCATAATTGTTGAGTTCACTTCCATTTCGAGTTAAAGTGTTTGGTGCAGAGATTCGAAAGTCTATCCCATCAGCTGTCGATGGGCTTTACTGGAAAATTCTTCTTGAAGCTATTTCCGAGACAATATCTTTCGATTCAAGGGAGAACGTGCTAAGCTATCGGCCATCGTATCATGGGCATCATCATCATATGCGAAGTTGGGTTTCGAGTAATCTCTTGTTTCATAATTGTTGAGCTTACTTCCATTTCGAGTGAAAGTGTTGGGTGAAGAGATTCGAAGCAATACACTTACAGAGACAGACACACTCGCATGCATCAAAGTTGACATATGACCTTAACTAACCAAACCACTTTATACTTGATCAAAGAGGCCAGATGTAGAGTATATATACCACTTTTTAGGGATTTGCCGATGAGATTTCTTGACTCGTTAGCTTCTATTTTGTTGTGACGATGTTACCTCGCTCTGATGATGTCCGCCATATGACGCAAGCAAGCTTAGCACCTCTTAACCTGAATCGAATAAATCGCTGTTGCCTTGGAAACAGCATCAACATGAATGTTCCAGTAAAGCCAATTGACAATTGGTCAAGAGGAATCCGCTGTTGTCTTCTAATGGAACCAACCTTCGAATCTCTTCACCCAACTCTTCTACTCGAAATGGAGGTAAGCTTAACAATTATGAAACAAGA